GCACCACAAGGTGAGCAATGCGGGTCGGGCCCACTCCAGGCCCTGGCACATGCAGCCAGCGCCTCGAAGCCTTGAAGCCATCACCAGGTCACGGGAGTCCTCCTGAGAACCCAGTTTCTGGGCTGGAGGTGATGGAAAGCAAGGATGTTTGAGATTTCTCGGCGGGGTGGCGGGGTTGGACATTGGAAGCTGAGCCAGGTAGAGACAACGTATGACTCTGGCAAACTGCCATGTGCACACACCGTACTATTAACACTAGGTTCAATGCATCACCCAAATTTGTCATCATCCTTAATGCTCACAACTCATTCATTCACCCAATGATGGTTCTTTGATACTCCAAGTATTGTGCTTGAACAAACAAACAAAGAACAAAACAAACAAAGCCCTTGTAAAACTATGCTCTGAAGGTGGCATTCCTGTGCTGGAATTCCACAGAGGAAACTGAAGCTTGGGGAGAGTAAGGAACCCAGTAACCCACCCTCTTCCTTCGAGGGTCAAGAGCCAAAGGCTTGGGCTCTGGTTCTCTGGCTCCCTGTTAATCCTCTTCAAAGAAGCCTCCAGTTGAGACACGGGGTGGAGGATCCTCTCACCACAGACTGCGTGTTAACCGGGGGCTGCTGACATGTGGCTCTCCCACACAGCATCAGACCTCGGTCTCCTGAAAGCCCCTCAGCAAAGGGCATGGTATCAGAGATCAGGACTCCCATCTAGGAGCTACCAAGTCCCAGAACCCAAGCGGCCTCAGGAGCATGCTGTGCCCTTGGGTAGTTTGCCAGGTCCCATCCTTGCTGGAAAATGAGGAGCAGAACATTTTCTGTGGGTCTCTCAGGAAAACAAAGATACCAAGCCTTACCGGACAGGTCACTATCCCCTCACTGGAACACCTGGCTTCTCCACCCTGTTTTCTCCATAAGAAACATCTCCGTTTTGACATGCCATGACCACAGATAGGCCACCGGCCCTGGTCTGCCTCTGACACCCTCACCTCTCCGCCCACAGGCACCCTTTGATGGATCCCGCCTGGTCTTCCCCCCAGTGCCAGCCTCTCTGGTGATTGCCTTCTTCTATGTATTACTGCGGCTCATTCTGCCCGAGGCCGTGGCAGGCATCGTCTTTGCCGGGGGCCTCCTGGGCTATGTCCTCTATGACATGACCCATTACTACCTGCACTTCGGCTCACCACACAAGGGCTCCTACCTGTACAAGATGAAGGCCCACCATGTGAAGCATCACTTCGAATACCAGAGATCAGGTAAGGTTGGGCTCCCGGCCTTTGTTTTTGTTGTACTGATTTGACTTATTTGGCAGATTCAGCCCCAAGGATGGGGCTCTGTTTGGAGAATGGCATATTCAGAAGACTCATTTGTGCAGGCGGTTATGCAGAGAGGAACAAACAAGGAAACCAATCCAAAGCAAAGATTATCTCAGACAGTACTAAGTGTCCTGCACACAATAAAGCAAGAAAGCATTGGGCTGGGCGGTGGTGCCACACCCCTTTAAGCCCAGCATTCTGGAGGCTGGGGCAGGCAGACCTCTGTGAGTAAGGCCAGTCTAGTCTGCATAGGGAGACATATGTAGCCAGAGTATATAAGTGAGACCCTGTCTCAAAAAAGGGGAGGAGGAGAAAATTTCATGATATAGTTAACCAGCGTAACCAAAGTCTTACCATATTGTAATTAACACAGAAACCATTAATGAGCTATCTTACATTTCCTTATGCTAAGTCTGTTTTGTGCTGAGAGCACATTTCAATTTATATGCTAGATTTCCATCAGAAATACTTGACTATATATATGTTCTGTTGTAAATAAAAATTACACTGGGCTATGTAACATTTATTTTTTGCCCTATGATTATCACAGCAGTATTAGTTAAGCCGCCATCACAATCAATAAAACACAGATAGCTGTTAAACTTTATAATTGCCTTGAAACACCTTGGGCTGGACAAATATTTCACCTACACTGTCTCAATAACCTCACTGACCATCTCCCAGCCCCCATCTAATTCCATCCACCTTAACCATCCCTATCTGAGTTACCTTTTATCCATAATCTTATAAATTCTTGCTTCTGGACCTTTCCACACCATTATTGGAGACCTTCCTCCTGGCCCACAGGGTTCCTTCTCCACACCAAGCCATCGCTAACCCATCACGGCATCCTCCTTCCTCCTCTCTTCCTTCTGTTTCCTATGATTCTCCTCCTCCCCAAAGCCTTGGGAACCTTAGCCATGCCTACCCCATTCTGTCCTGCCCAGGTTTCAGGCCTTTGAGTCGACCAATTAGGAATAATGTCTTAGGCAGGTTTGTACAACAAGGACAGGTGTATCTGGGCAGTAGCCCGATCTTGAGGGCCAGTCCTAGTATCAAAATACAAGCATCAGACCAACCCCCAACAATGTTTTTCAATAAATATTTGTAGTTAAAAAGACAGATTCATGCTTGCTGGAGAGATGGCTCAGTGAAGAACACTGGCTCCTCTTCCAGAGGACCCCA